AGAGCGCCAGCGTCGAAAAACGTCCTTGCTGGCCGGAATTTCCGGTAACGACCGCCACATCGGTCGATTTTCCAGCGGCACACAGCTGGAGGGTCGAATATCGCGAGGCTTAATTGCGGGATTAAACCGCGACAAAAGCTCCTGCGTTCTATCGCCGTGTCATTCTGTCAACCCGTTCGCCCGTTTAACAACCTTCGAAACGTTTCACGCTGGCTGCTAAGGATCGGACGGCTGTCTCGCATGCCATAAATTCGCGAGCAAGCGAGCGAGCGAGCGGACGGGCGCGGAACGCGGGCGCACGCTCGATGAGGAACGCTGATTGAATGAACCCAGCCGGCGGGCTCGAATCCTTAATCATATGTCGATCGTGTTTCATAGCAGCGCGGGAGAGGCAATTGGATTACGCGTAACAGGTTTACCCGGTAAAATTGGAATGCGACGAGCGAAACTATTTTCGCCGGTATCTGTTTGAAACATAATTATCCAATTTCCCTGTTTCGTTCCATGCCTGTTGTCAAAAAAACTGCCCGTGGCCCGATCTTCTCCACTTCACGGGAGAAAAAGGCAAACGGAAATCTCGAGAAAAGAGAATCGATCGTCGATCCGCCGGTTCCACTTTGTCCTCTCGTCTGTCGTCATTTCTGCGTGCCGGCGGAATGAAAAATAATCCACGTGCCCGATCGAATAATCGAAACGTTCCGTCGATCCGGAGCGGAATGCCGGAGCGTTTCGTAGGCCACGACGAGAACGACGGGGGGATGATCAAATTGAAATGCGATTACAGTTCATTAGCCGAAATGTTCGGTCGATCGAGAGATCCAATTACCAATGGCGAGCATCGAGGACGTGGCGGAGAAGGGCGGCGAGCGGTATACGGTTAACGGTATTCCCCGGACGACGTCGAAGAAGAAACGGAGAAAAAGCGGGGAACCAGACCGGGTAGCAGATTGGCTTGACAGCAGACAGGAAGTGCATACGCTGCCGGTGATGCAGGTAATTCAACGATACGGTAACTGGTCTGAGTGGAAGCCTAACCGTGAAGAGTAGAACCTCGACGATGGGACTCGGTGAAGGACGGATCATCCGAGAAGCAAGCAAGCTTCCCCGGCCATCTTTGTCCACGGAAGAAGAGAACGACGTGTGTCCACGGTATTAGCCGAGACGAGCTAATATTGTGAGAAGTTTATCCTGCAACGATACCAATTTCTCGCCACGATTGACACGGCTGACCGGCGAATCAATTTTGTTTCAGCGTAACGTATCGTTGTCGTTAAATGTCAAACGTGACCGTTCATCTGGCTTCTCCGTAGCACGCGGGATTTTGGTCGAATTTGAACGACACGCGTTTGTGGCTCGATCTTGAAAATACATTGATATTAACGTTTCGAAGAGACGAAGAATCTCTTTTGCGTAATACGTTGGCCAAAGATGGGAAATCGTGGAACGACCGTAGTAAAGTAAATCGAGTTGAATAATCGTGAAACATTCGCGTCACGATTCAGGGCAAAGAGACAATAGGATGTGATATACCGTGGTCTCTAGTCTTCCATGCTTTTTGCCGAAACATGGTAACTTTATTGTTCGAGCTACATTTTTGCAAAGATAGACACATAGTACGCTTTTCAACGGGCGTACGCTCGCGTTTCTTTGACATTCTACTGAAATATTCTCCCTCGTCGGAGACTTCCAATTAGCGACGGACAATAAAGATGATTTGAAGGATGGGCGATTGCGCTGGCTGACCACGTGCAGATCGGCTGCTCCACAGGGGATCTAATTCCCCTCGCGAGACTGTTTCGAAAGTTCTTGTGTTTACAATGCCATCTCCGAACCATCTCTAAGTCAACCTCTCAACTACCTCTCGAGACGCCAAATTCTCAGATATCACTCCTCGCCTGCTCCTCCCCTCCCCCACCCCTTCTGTCGCCGTATATAATAAATTTATCAAAGCGTAAGGCGTAAAGGCGACAGTGAAAGTTGCATCGCAGTGAGGATGTGATGTTAATCAGACACGATCGAGCGAGCGTGGACTATTTCGCAGGATCCCGCGAGAGACCGCAGACTCCGGGCCGGGAAAGCTGGAAGTTCAGCTTCGGCTTATTACTTGAAAATCGCGAAGTTGGCCGTGAAGCGACGTAGGCATCGGCAACGCGGTGCAGCTTACACGGGGAGGGCTTGCCAAGACGACGAACGTTGTCGTCGACGTTGAACGTTATGTAAAGTTGGCTGATTTATGCGCAACAGAGTTGGCCCACGAGGCAACACGAAGGATTCCGACGCAAGTTTAAACGTTTCTGTCGTAGCTGTACTCTCTCCCTCTCTGTCTGTCTCTCTGTTTCTCTCCCTCTCTCTCTCTCTCTCTTTCTCTCTCTCTGCACTCTCGAGTCGAACGAATAGTTACCGGTGAAGTTTCGAGCCGTGTTATGGCCGCGTGCACCTGCCACGTGAAAGCGGGGATTTCGAATCTTGATTAATGCGCCGGAGAAATCTGAACGTTTCCAGAGCGGATCGGACGCCGGCAGAAAAATCGTATTCGCAACTTTATAGTCGGGATTTTTGGACGAGTTCGAGCCCGGTATCGGGGCATCTGCGATGGGATCTGTCGTTGAATAATCGACGACGATTGCTCGATGGCATTTCTCTTTGTCGGTATCAACGAAGAAGAGGAGGAAAAAAAGACGGCGTGGAAAACGGCGAAAATGGTTACAGAGGGGCGGGGAAAATGGTTTCGAGTAAAAGTGGAGCACGAAAGCGCGCCAAGATGAAATGATCGACGCGTTTCACTAGCACAGGTATCTCTTTCCTTTTTTTTCTTTTAGTCTAGCGCTTGTTTGTTATAACGTTTGTTTAACGTGCAGTAGACTTGTAGAGCTTCCTTATTTCGCTCTTCTGCAGAAAATTCAGTTATATAATTTGTTGCCTCCGTGTGTCTCCACGTGTAGAACTGCCGACGTTCGCAGTGGTTGTAACCGATGTGAAACAAAAGAAACAAACAGTGCAAGGAACAAGTAATTCTCATCGTTCTATTGGCTTCAAGGAAAATCCACGTTGATCAATTTCCGTAAATTAAAAGAAATTCCCCGACCGATGAAATTCAAAGAAATTAATGAAAAATGGAGTTTGATCAACCCGAGCAATTCCGAGTGGCTCGTATTTCCAAACGGACGATTCGTCCGTTCATTTCTTTTTTGTTCTTTCTTTTTTCCCTTCTCTCTCTCTCTCGCACGCGCGCGCGCGCGCGCGCATCTCTTTATCTGGAATGTAACTGCGAGCGAGCACGCGGAAATACACAGGCGTTCATCATGCAGCAATTGTAGCATCGGTTCTCTGAACTGCCTCCCCTTTCAAGTCGTTTCTCTCATTCACGCTTGGAAAACGCACGCTGCTTCGTCCGACGGTTTACGCAAACGGTTCTGTCACGCGTTTCAGTTACAATAACTGAAACGCGTTCGAAACACTTTTCACCGGATATCGCTTTTACGCAGATCCACATAAATCGAAAAGAGCATTCCGTCGCTAGTGCTGCAACAGTTTATTGACATCAAAGAACATTTATTTGCCTAGCGCGGGGAAATCAATGGGGAGAGGCGCGGAACGTATCCATCGCCGAAAGAATCCGCAGTTAGCAGCTGCCGCTTGAAAATTGATCCGCGCATTAAACCCCGGGATTAATGTCGGTTCCAGGCTGGTAATTGGTTGACACTAAATTCGGGCACGGCTTAAATTTTAAACGATCGTACGATGATGCCCAAACAAGCGTTCGTGCGTTGCACGCGTACAACAAACACGCGATCGCAGGGATTATGCTCGGAGAGCTGCGAGCTACACTGTATAAAATATTTCTTTTTATTTGCCAACGTCCGGCCCAGCTTGCCCAGTGGTTTACTCCTCTGTTTATCCCCTGTGCGACGTCAAATATTTCGTTATTTACGTTCCCCTTTAATTTCCCTCGTTAATACGATCCCTCGTTAATTCGCTCGTCGTTCGCCTGAAATAATCGACGCCGCCATTAAATCTTAATCATCCGACCAAACGTTCAAACCCCTTTGCGAACCCCCAAATGGCAAACATGTTTCTCCCGTTTAAACGGGAGTATTGCGCAAAGTTCTTCGACAGGTTCCGAACACTTCTGAATTAACGCTTCAGCGTTGGATGGACAGGCGACGAGCGACGAAACAAGCTTGAAACGAGCTCGCGCGGGCCCTCTGTGAACCTCGGGTCACGGGAAGGCGAGCCGGCCGCAATCCGAACGAAATCGGTTGCCAATCGTCGACCTGTTCCACACGTGCGAATTACTACTGCCCGGAAATGAATATTTTACCATTAACTTTGCGCGATTCCATTGTAGTAATTGCGAACACTTCCGACCAACGGGTGCCAAACCGCAGGGCGCTACAATCAATTACGATGGCGTCATGCCGCAGTCCATATATTATGCAGCACATCGAATGTCCCCTCAAATGATACCTACGTGTTTACAGGGCCGTGCTTTATGCCGTCGTCCGCGCTCACGTCTCTGAGGTTTCCCTCTGTGTTCGACCGGGGTTGTGTGTGTCGATGGTAGTACGGTCGCGCCCGCCGATGCACGCCGGAAACCCCACTTCGTGTGTGTGCTCGCGGCGCCACGTGTGAGCGCCAGGATTCGCCGGTGCGTGCACCTCGACAAATTGGCAGCGTTAAATTTAATGTCATTCATTTCGTCGAACGACGATCCCCGGCCATACGTCCCGCGAAATGTTTTACACGCGCGTGAAACCGTATCCAACCTGCCTGAGAGTAAGTGTATCTCTTGTAAACCATCATCTCGTAAACCACGTCCAGCGTCTTTGCCTGCTATATTCTTTATTATTCAAATTTCCACTGTTTCACGTTTCTCTTTCCTTTTCCCCTGCAACCATACGACGTGGCGGCTTCGGCGATGTAAGATAATATTTTTGTTAGAAAAAAAAATCGTCACGGAATTCAGCAGACTTGCGAACTCGGTGATATCATTGCTTGGCAATATTACGTCTACCGGTAATGTTTCAACGCCCGTGTAACGTAATATTTTGTCGTTTCTCGAAATTTCAAGAATAATTCATAAATAATTCACGAGGCAACTGGGGCGTTGTTCTTTGTTTTGGATAAGCAAATTTCCTCTTTCGCGGGAGAACGTTGCCCTACATTTTTGGAGGAGAGACTCGCGTTAACGTCGCTGACTAAGCAGCGACTTTCTCGCCTCTTCCGGTCGGATACTCGTCTTCCGGCCCGTGACCGAGATAAAAAAAAAAAAAGAAAGAATCATATCTTTGTAATTTACTGCTCGACCGACTTTCGTTGCGGAATCGTGTGTGTGTGTGTATGTGAACATGCAAATTGGCCCAGAGGGAAAAAAGCGCCTCGGTGCTCTGCGCAATACCCATTGCCCTTTGCGTTTGGTGCCGCTATGACGGAAATGGGCTTCTCTCGTTCACGCGATTACGCGTGTAACCTGCTTCTGAGAATGACGTGAGCATCGCCCGCGCTTTTCACGTTTCTCCGTGTCGGGCGTTTCGACGACAGCTCGACATAGCGAAACGTCGAGTCGAAGCTTGCGAATTGACGCGGTAACTCTCGTATAATTCTCCCATTAATACGCATTTGTCAGAGAATGAGGCTCGAAACTGCCAGGAAGTGCGGTTAATCTGAAACCAGTGGGCAGCTGTTTCGAAAGGAATTTTTATTTCACTGTTTCGCAGTAGTTTGTTCATTCAAATACATAAGCTAAGAATGAGCTTCAAGTTTTCAAAGAAAAACAAGTTTTCAGCACACGTCTGCTTAGATAAGTAAATTTTATTTGAAAGACACTCTTCGTAGTGACAAACAGTTTTTGGAAGATGATTACGCGTGAAGCTTCAAATGAGATACCTGACCGGAATAATAACTGGCTGTCGCTGTCCATGCTGCGAGTACATCCACGGCTAGATAGAAAGATACTTCATATTTCGTGGAAACACACCTACCCTTAGTATAACTTACTCCAGATAAGGTACCAACTCCAAAGGTGGCCAGTTAGCGAAACGCCGCGCGTATATCTACGTGTCTGCCTACACGTCGACCTTTTCTACTGAATTTAGTACGTACCGCTGGCCGCGCTACTCTGCAATTAACGACGCTGGACAAATAATTTTCACTTTCAAAGCTATTAACGTATTTTATACAGAGCGGCGTGTTTGCAATTGCAAACAGAAATATCAGGGGAGAAACGAACGGTAAATGCGTTCTGAAAATGAATTCATTCGCGATCCCTGTACCTCCTCGTCTTTAATTTCATTTCCATCGGTCTATGGCTGGTTTCCACGCACCATCGAGCAAACGATCGAGGCTTCGAAATGCTAGCGCGCTAGCGCCGGATGAAAAAGTATTATTCCCCTTGCTATTTTAACGAGGTGACAGCGCTTCTTTTTCGCTGGATAAACGAACGAGCGAGCGTCCCTCACTCTGCGCCGTATTTCACGTAGAGTGTAGAATGAGAATGAGAATGAACCTCGCCGCTGCATCGTTCGAGTCCCTCTTTCGATCAAACTTCTCGATTGTTGGTCCATTACCGCGCACGTGTCGGCTAAACGAAGAGAAAACACGCGGACCCAAATTACGCTAAAATTACAGACGATCAGAGTGTAGAATTCGATGATCTCGTTGCGAGAGAAATTCAAACACAGGGGATACGAGATAAAAATTTGAATCCTCGAAAGAAAGAAAGACGCGTCATTGTAAATTTATCGAGAAGACGAATCTTTCTAACGAAAGATCGCGAATTTCTCGCCTCGATTCGGCAATTCTAGCGTTAGAGAACACTAGCTAGCATCAAGTCACGTAGGCGATAAAAAATTACGCGACGTCTTTCACAGGCGAGCAACGGGAAATTGATTATACCCGAGACATCGGGAGACGTCGATTGAACGACGCCCCGTCGATGCGTCAAATTTTTCAGGATTATTAATCAACGACGGATGACGACACGGCGAGGAGATGGAAAAAGAATCTGCGCTTAATCGTGAATCCTGACCCGCCGAGGAAGCAATCGACTGTTGCTTCCACTGATGCTCGCAATTGCACGAGAAACAAGGCCCGATTGATCAACCATCGACGGGTAATGGAAAGATTTAACCAACTGTCAATCGATTTGACTGACCGCAACGATGAATTGTTTAAACGCGTTTCATCCGGCGACGCGTTTCAAACGATACG